TGAGCAATGAGTGCGAGAGAGAGAACGGACAAAACAGCGTATGGACCAATCCAAGTTGAGCCTTAGTCCCCGTTTACGGCCGTTCTTTCCAGGGCTCATGGTCGGAAAGCACTCCGGTGTTTTTTCGGGGCAACCGGATTCGGGATCGGCACTACCACCGCGGACCAAATTACGAGGCCCAGCCTGTATTTTTGCGAGTGTGTGTGTGTCCCTTTGACGAGGCGCGGGTTGCCGCATCTGATCAATGAGTGGGAGAGAGATAGACGACAATTGGGGCGGCGTTTCAAAGCCGAGTGTGCTCCTTTGACGTGCCGCATCTGAGCAATGAGTGCGAGAGAGAGAACGGACAAAACAGCGTATGGACCAATCCAAGTTGAGCCTTAGTCCCCGTTTACGGCCGTTCTTTCCAGGGCTCATGGTCGGAAAGCACTCCGGTGTTTTTTCGGGGCAACCGGATTCGGGATCGGCACTACCACCGCGGACCAAATTACGAGGCCCAGCCTGTATTTTTGCGAGTGTGTGTGTGTCCCTTTGACGAGGCGCGGGTTGCCGCATCTGATCAATGAGTGGGAGAGAGATAGACGACAATTGGGGCGGCGTTTCAAAGCCGAGTGTGCTCCTTTGACGTGCCGCATCTGAGCAATGAGTGCGAGAGAGAGAACGGACAAAACAGCGTATGGACCAATCCAAGTTGAGCCTTAGTCCCCGTTTACGGCCGTTCTTTCCAGGGCTCATGGTCGGAAAGCACTCCGGTGTTTTTTCGGGGCAACCGGATTCGGGATCGGCACTACCACCGCGGACCAAATTACGAGGCCCAGCCTGTATTTTTGCGAGTGTGTGTGTGTCCCTTTGACGAGGCGCGGGTTGCCGCATCTGATCAATGAGTGGGAGAGAGATAGACGACAATTGGGGCGGCGTTTCAAAGCCGAGTGTGCTCCTTTGACGTGCCGCATCTGAGCAATGAGTGCGAGAGAGAGAACGGACAAAACAGCGTATGGACCAATCCAAGTTGAGCCTTAGTCCCCGTTTACGGCCGTTCTTTCCAGGGCTCATGGTCGGAAAGCACTCCGGTGTTTTTTCGGGGCAACCGGATTCGGGATCGGCACTACCACCGCGGACCAAATTACGAGGCCCAGCCTGTATTTTTGCGAGTGTGTGTGTGTCCCTTTGACGAGGCGCGGGTTGCCGCATCTGATCAATGAGTGGGAGAGAGATAGACGACAATTGGGGCGGCGTTTCAAAGCCGAGTGTGCTCCTTTGACGTGCCGCATCTGAGCAATGAGTGCGAGAGAGAGAACGGACAAAACAGCGTATGGACCAATCCAAGTTGAGCCTTAGTCCCCGTTTACGGCCGTTCTTTCCAGGGCTCATGGTCGGAAAGCACTCCGGTGTTTTTTCGGGGCAACCGGATTCGGGATCGGCACTACCACCGCGGACCAAATTACGAGGCCCAGCCTGTATTTTTGCGAGTGTGTGTGTGTCCCTTTGACGAGCCGCGGGTTGCCGCATCTGATCAATGAGTGGGAGAGAGATAGACGACAATTGGGGCGGCGTTTCAAAGCCGAGTGTGCTCCTTTGACGTGCCGCATCTGAACAATGAGTGCGAGAGAGAAAACGGACAAAACAGCGTATGGACCAATCCAAGTTGAGCCTTAGTCCCCGTTTACGGCCGTTCTTTCCAGGGCTCATGGTCGGAAAGCACTCCGGTGTTTTTTTGGGGCTATCGTTGGAAAATTGGCAGTATCGGAAACGCCTACAATCGCGGCGTGATACCTCACGCATTCCGGAGAATTCGAATAGTTGTATCATTGCGCCTTAGCATTGCAATGGTAGATAAATAATGAGGTAGCCCTCGCTCTTTCCTTGTCGGTTTTCCTTTGATGCCATTGCAATATTGACCGCATAGTTTACGTGTGCTCAAGCTAGGATCGAATTTAGCAAATTGAAATTTTCTTATAGAAGAATCAAAAATGAACAAAGAGTAAAAAATATAATGAAGGAACAGTAAGTCAAATCAACAATTAACTTATTGATACCGAAAAAGTACTAAATTTTTCTGCTTATAACGCATTGAATTTTTCGGAAAGGTCCTGAACTCATACTGCATAAGTAGCTAACATTTGCCAGCCAGTTTTCATAAACATTCTATTCAGAGGTCACAAGAATCCCGTATTCCAAATTGGAATATCGGCAGTATCGAAAACGCCTTCAATTGCGGCGTGATACCGCACGCATTCCGGAGAGTTCGAATAGTCGTACCATTGCGCCTTAGTGATGCGACGGAAGGTTAATATTAAAGTAGCCTCCGCGCCGGCCTTGTCCGTTTTATTTCGCCGCTATTGCAGTTATGACCGCATAGTTTACGTGTGCTCAAGCTAGGATCGTATTTAGCAAATTCAAAATTCCCATAGAAGAATCAAAAATAAACAAGGAGTAAAAAATATAATGAAAGAAAAGGAAGTCAAATCAACAATCAACTTAATGATACTGAAAAAGGACTAAATTTTTCTGCACATGACGCATTGATTTTTTCGGAAAGGTTCTGAAAACGTACTTCAAAAATTCTTAATATTTGCCAGCCAGTTTTAATTAACATTCTATTCATGACACTAGTATCCCGTATTCCGAAATGGAATATCGGCAGTATCGAAAACGCCTTCAATTTTGGCGTGATACCTCACGCATTCCGGAGAGTTTGAATAGTTGTATCATTGCGCCTTAGCGTTGCGACGGAAGATTAATATTAAAGTAGCCTCCGCGCCGGCCTTGTCTGTTTTTTTTCGCCGCTATTGCAGTTTTGACCGCATAGTTCACGTGTGCTCAAGCTAGGATCGTATTTAGCAAATTGAAAATTCTTATGGAAGAATCAAAAATAAACAAGGAGTAAAAAATATAATGAAAGAATTGGAAGTCAAATCAAGAATCAACTTAATGATACCGAAAAAGTACTAAATTTTTCTGCACATGACGCATTGAATTTTTTGGAAAGGTTCTGAAAACGTACTGCAAAAATACGTAATATTTGTTAGCCAGTTTTAATAAACATTCTATTCATGCGTCGCAAGAATCCCGTATCCCGTCATGGAAAATTGGCATTATCGAAAACGCCTTCAATTGCGGCGTGATACCTCACGCGCTCCGGAGAGTTCGTATAGTTGTATCATTGCGCCTTAGCAACGCGATGGAAGATTAAAATCGAAGTAGCCTCCGTGCTGGCCTTGTCGGTTTTCCTTTCCGAAAAAGTACTTTAACTTACTTAATTTGTAGTACCTTAACCTACTTAACCCTTACCTGCACACATTATGGGTTTTGAACTTTTTTTTGAAATTTCGAGTTTTCTAAGGCCTCTCGGGTCTAAATAACTCAAAATTAGTGAAAAAAAATTTTTTTGACTTTTTTTTACCCAAAAATTTTGACAAAAAAGGGTGGTCAGTATGACTGACCACTGAGCAGGATAGGAATACGCAAATTCCCTATTCACCTATGTTGATATAATTTTCGTGTTTTTTTTATTTTTGTGTAAATAATGATCCTTGTCTCTACCTATCCGCGCAAGACATTCACTTTCTGCCCTCCAAGCCCCCACCCCCTCCCTCGCAGACCTCCCCTTACCTTCCATACTAACTTTACCAGTGAATTATAAATGTTGACTGCGTAGATTTTGTAAGTTTTTCACTTTTTCTTACATGTTTGTAAGAGAGAGAGTCTCTGTTTTTTGATATTGAGTGAAGCTAGTCTTAGAAACATGTTTAATTTATTATAAAAGAGTATAAAAAGAGCAGAAATGTATAAAAAAAAAACTTAAAGTGAGGAACATATGAGCTTAACTGGAATAAGTAAGAAGGCAATCGAAGACCAGTCGCAATGAAATAAATTCATTTTTTCGAAATGTAAAGATAATGGTCCTTTCCCACATGAGACTAGCAATTTTAAAATAATAATTTTGGTCAATAATTAAAAGTAATATGAACATAATCATAAAAATTACCGATTAAAAAAAATAATAAAAAAATAATAATAATAATAAAAAAATGAAATTATCAGACTGAAAGTGTGATTACCTCGAGGTCATGTAATTATTTGTGTAATAAGTTTGAAACAAGTAAGTGAAATAAATCGTCAAAATGAGGAGAGGATGAATCCACTCAGCAACAAGTATCCAGTTCCAGCTCCTAGCCGCCTGCTCGGTGGTCAGTTATACTAACCACCATGTTCCAGCATGAATTAAATAATCAAAACTTTTGAATTTTTCACTTGCCAAATGACATTCTCACAGCATTATAGTCTGACTTAATATTTTACTACTAAATCAGAACCATTTGCGTCGCACAAGCAACTGCCAACCGCAAAACTGGAGATGACACCGGCAGCACCAAACCTCCAACGAATCGGAGGTAAACAATAGATGATAAAACAATATTGCCAACATAACATCGCCCGGAAATATTTTTTTTCATATTCTGGACCATATCCCAAGTACAACTACATGGTTGGTAAGGGTATGTCGCGCCAAAACGGCCATGAATAATTATTTAAAAAGGTGGTCAGTATAACTGACCACTGAGCAGGTAAGGGTTAATAGTACTTACATTTTGTCAGCCAGTTTTAGTAGACACCCTGAACCCGTATATGTATGAACTCCGAATAGTTGCATCCAGGCGTTATAGTGAAATTTGTTTAGTGTCCGTCGCATTCGACACCAACTAAGGTCACTCTGCTTGTTCCTCTTGTACTGTTACTCTATTCGAGCTTTGCTTTTTCTGCCGATGGAGTAAACTTTTACTGATATGTATTGCGGTATTGTCAATTTTCCCAACAATGCTGTGATTTACTCCATATTTTCAGAGTTTTCTCAAGCAAAGAATTCACTTGCGGTCAATTTGTTTCATCTGCAGAAAGATTAAAATTGGGAGTCTCTTGAATAGTTTTTAAAATAATCATTGAAATTTTGTAACGTTTTAAGGCCTTTAATATTTTCGCCTGCAAGTTGCGGTACTTACTTTGTGTCAACGGCAGGACATTCATCGATAATCATGATCCCTTGCTGATCTGCAAAATCCATGATTTCCTCTGCATAAGGGTAGTGAGATGTACGATAAGAATTTGCTCCTATCCATTTTATCAAATTGTAGTCTCTCGTGATTAATGGCAAGTCAACACCTTTTCCTCGAATCTTGAAATTAAAAAAAAAAAATGTATATTTATTCCATAGTTCTTACTAATTTTATCCATCAATGTACTTAACTTGGAAAATTGAGTGGAGAACAATGAAGAAATAGTTGTAATACATCGCTGTTTGAAGTGCGAAACAACGTACCTCCATTGCGGTATTTCAAAATTTTTGCATCGTATTTTATTTTTCAAGAGAAACAAGCCAACTTTACTGCTCGGAATTGATACAGAATATTCCTTTAACATAGAAAAAAAATTAAATAATTTTCGAGAAATTACGTTGTCTAATTTCCGAAAAAAAAATTGACAGGAAGCTAGCAACGTCGCAAATGGAGATGCGCAGTTTCTCACTTTGACCATCGACACACTCCATTACTGCCATGCTAAGGAAAAACGCCGTATGAGCGTTTAGGTGTTGCCAAATTTCCTTTGATAAAGCTCGAATTTATTGGTAAGCTTATGAATATTTTTCTCTCAATTTTTTAGTAAATTTTGTAGCAATTTCACCTGAATTTCCGGGAAATTTTAAGGAAAAATATCATTAACTTTCCTCAAAAATAAAGATTTTATCGAAGAAAACTTGCAACCTCTCGAATTGGTATTCATACGGCGTTTTTCTTTAGCACGGCAGATTACTCCACGTCTCTTGAGGTCAGCCGACAGGGTTGCGCGCGTGGAATGAAAAATATGAAACATTGAGAATTTCCGTAAAATATTTCATGAAATTTCACGAAGCTGTGATATTTTTCAGGGGTTAGAGTATGCAACCCGCGCTCAAATACACAAAAATAGAAGAAATTCGAAATTTTTACATTTTGCGAAACATGAAGGGGAACCGGTATTTTTCAATATTCTTCATAAATTTCTGAAATTTCTTGAAATATTTCACTCGAAATTTCAAAATTTTATTTTTCATGAAAAATTGCAACCCTGTCAGCCGACGCAACTAGTTGGTACTTTGATTTACAAACTGAGGTATCATGACTCAAAAAATCATTTGACCCATTTTCAAGTTTTTTGCGCTCATGGCTACAATTTTTCATCGCCCTATGAGAAAATTTCTCGTGGAACTTACGGGTTTCTCAGTTTTAATTCGAATGAAAGAAGTTTCGCTTTCCCCTTGCCCTCATCTCTTCTACCTGAGTAAAAAAAAATTTAAAAAATTGTAAAAATTTCCATTGTGTGTTGTACAACCCCGAAAATTTCTGGATGCTTACCGCTGAATCCTCATGCCGCCCAAAGCCTCGCATGTAGATAGGTTTGTTATTGATCATAAAAGTTGTATTGCTCCAAGATAAAGAGCGGATTCCGACAGGTAGCACATAAATATCCTCAACAGGGTTCATTGAATCGGAGTTAATGACACGGAACTGTAAAATCAAAATTGCAAGTTATTAATTTCTAATCTTTAACTAATAAAGCTTTGAAAGCAATTCCTTGAATTTGCCAGAATTTAAAGAATTTGTTTCAAAATTCAGTGACTTTCTTGTTGTTTAAGCATTCACAAAACAACAGAATGTTAAATTAACATCCAGGGATTTTAAAAAATTGCGGAACAACTCTGTAATGATGATATGAGTGCCTCGGCCATTACTGTAACATCCGCATGTCATTGCATCAACAACAAAGAATTTAATTTATTCTTTCCTTGTCTTTTATATTTTTTGCACATTTTTACTGATCTCTATTTTCCAAGATGGAAGTGACACATGAATTGTAAAAACATCTACAAATTTTATTAATCGACCAACTATTTATTTCACATTTCCAGAGTTGTTCCGTAGATGTTAAACATTCATGTTTATGTGACATTTTTTGGCAAAGCTGACATTAACTTGATAGAATTTGAAAATATCTAACAGAAATTCCTTTGTATCATTTCCCATTTTTGTCACAAATTTAATTTATTATGAGTTTAAATTACTGACCTCAATGGAGTACAAGTAGCCTGGAGACGGGTGCATCAAGTAGGGCCACCACAGTTTTGCGTTTTTAATTTTTAAAACACCATGAGCCACTGTTGAAGTGGAGCTGTAAATCGAGGGATTGCTTCGACTTGCGTAGGTGCCCTCCTGGGTGATCAGATCCGCATAAACTTTTATCGAAGAGCCAGCGTATTCTGGCAGTCCTCCTATGCTAACATTATACTTAATTATTCCTGTAAACAATACAAATAATCGTTACATTTTTAATCTTTAAAATTGCAGAGAAATGGAATGATTATTTTATTGCCTCTCACATGAATAAGTGCGAAGTTTGGGAACTAGTATGTTCTGTATACTTTGAATTTGGCGTGAGCTGTACCTAATCCAAGTTTACTCCCCAAATTCGAGTAACTTCAAACAACAATAGAATAATATCTCAACTTTGTCAGCTATCATCGATCAAAGAATGTGTTACCTGTAGTTCCGTCATCAGCTATGTCTGTTAATATGGATATATCTTCAATGTATATTGCAGGAGTCGTGTATAGGAAGACAGGCCTTTGGATTCCTGCATAATTGAAGAAGTCAAAAGTGTACGTTTGCTGTTGTTTTTTACCCTCTGGTCTGAACAAAGAACACAACAATTGGTATTTTACTAATTAAGCTTAAGAAAAATAACTTAACACTAAGTTACTTAACACACATAACTTAACACACTCCATTTGCACCCCTCCCCCGCCAATTTGCACTCTTATTTATTTAAAAAAACATTTAGCGAAGAGGGAATAAATCGACGAGTGCAAATATTGTTATATTTATTGTCAGTGTGTGCAAAAATCGCCTTCAAAATTTCAAACACACTTTCCACTGATAAATGGTTGTTCAGTGTCCCTTTTACATGCAAGGGCTAACTCGCTATAGCCGCACAAATGTGAAGAGCGCAGTCCTCATCAAGGCCCCTTAATCCGTAAAAGATAACTGTTTAAACACGGCTGTCGGCAGGTTGCAGAGTTGAAATTGTGAGGGAGATTTTTGTTCATTCTAGAAGGCTTTCCAACATTATATCAGCGCCTCGTCGTTCAATGGAGTTTGGCTGCACATAGTACCTTCTACAATAGCGCCGTTTAATGTCACTTGAGAAGTACATTTTTGGCGAGTCTATGGTGTGGAGTTCGCAGAAATACCGTTGTTTCAATACATTATTTATATAATTTCTCACTTTCTCAAACAGTGTTCTCCAAGGGTGCCGAAAAATATTACAAGCTCTCTATTCCGCGAGACACGCGCGACAATATTATTGGGTACTCTTTAACTCTTGCGACTTTCGCAGTGTTTTTGAACTCAAGTCGACGTAACGGAAAATAAAATTAGAGGAAGATAATAAAAATAAAAATGAATTTTACGTGTCAATAGGCTCAACTTGTCCCTGAGGGATCGTGTTCAAAAGCAGAGTGTTATCAACAACCACTGTAATTCTGTTCTTAGTTCCGTAAGCTAGCAAAGAAGTGACCTCATGTTGGAAAGGGAGGTGCCCAATCTCGTGGCTCATTACAGAGTGTCCATTTATCCACTACAACAAAAACATTTAAAGGAGATGAGAAAGTGATCCCAAGTTCAGGGTTTCTGACGGTCTGGGAAACCTGAAACCTCAGGGAATTTTTAGGAAAAGAGTGGGAACTTCACTAGTCACGTTTCGGCTCAGCAACGTCAGCCGGTCCTATTTTAACTTTTTAAGGGACCTTTTGCGCAAATTTTATCAGACATGGTTTTTACGTAAAGAAATACTAAAAAAATGGGCCCCTGAAACATAATTTTTGACCGTGTTTTTCGGATAGTATCTTTTACAAACTTTTGACTTGAAATTCATCGAAAACGTATATTTTACTCAAAAAATACTCAGGAAAGGTTTCCTGAAGCATAAGTTTTGACGGTCTCTTTCAGGATGGTATTTTATACAAACTTCTTACCTAAGTTTTACCAGACACATCGACGGTGCAAGTCGGCAATCACATAACTCGGTTTGCGACGTCGCAGACTTCCAATCATACTTAATTTTTTAAACTGAAAACTACTCAACGGCAATTCTTTGAAACTTCCGTGATTTTTCCTCTCTGTGCGAAGAAAATTCTGCAAAAACTTCAAGGAATGATATCAATTTGTTCTCCTTTAAAAAAATAACATAGAGGCGGAGATTTTCAGACACCGCAAACGAGTTATGTGATTGCCGACTTACACCGTCGACATATATTTTACTCAAGACATGCTCAAGAAGGATTTCCGGAAGCATAATTTTTGACCGTTTCTTTTAGGATGGTATTTTTTTTTTACAAACTTGCCACTTAAATTTCACCAGACCTACATATTTTACTCCAAAAATACTCAAGGAGGGTTTCCTGCTGCATAATTTTTGATGGGTTTTCTAAAAGTTTTCGAGAAGTTCTTTTCAAGAGTAGTTGTTGCTTTCTGATTGGTTTGGATGCAATGCAGTGGGAATGGTTACTCACCACTTGACAAGCGTAGTGGACGCCTCCGAAACGGAGCCAGACGCGGTTGTTGGCGAGTCTCCAACGGTCAGGAACGAAGAAAGTGCGGTCGTACCAGACGAGCCCCACGTGGTCGTGGATCTCGCTATCGGTCGTGATGTCATTGTAACTACTCGGCACAGGCATCGGAATCGCTCCACCCGTCTGAAAACACCCAAACTCAAGAACTCAGGGGCCGAATTTTGTCGGCTTTTTAGCCTTGTGTCCACTCGTCAAAATGGAAAGCCCTGGATAGACGATCAAATTCCCGAACCCATTCCGATCAAAGTAGCATCAAAGTGTCGGGAGTCATCAGTCTTGAACTCATTAATTTGCTTCATTTTAAAATGAAAACTTGGCAGAAATGTTTCCTGTGGCAGGAAATGAGGAATGGTGGCACTCCGTTCTGATCTTACTTTGAACAAAAAAGTGCGGCCCGTCAAAATTTGATGGTAGATGGTGACCATCAGTCATCAGCTTGTCTACTTTGGTAGGAATTGGTTCGGAATTTGATCGTCTATCCACGGCTGAAGCTCAAAGTGAATCGATAAATACGATCTGTTCGCGATCGTTGATCGAAAAAGAGTTGCGCCGCTCTATTTTGAGCTGCAACACTCATTGTTGAGAACAGTTTTCTCTCCCGAGAAAAACTGTTCTTTCGAGAGAGAAAACTATTGTGTGGGGAGAAAAAACCATCCTCTTGAGGAAAAATCTATTCTCTCAAAAGAGAAAACTATTCCCTCGGGAGAGAAATCTATTCTCTCGAGATGGAAAACTATTTTCTCGGGAACGAATACTATTCCCTGGGGAATTCAATTCGCCTTCAGCAGCGTCCGCAGCAATTGTTGTTAAGAATATGTTGTGCGTGCTGATCTCAGCTCATTACATACTTGACTCTTCGAAGGCGATTAATGTGCGAAAATAGAGCACCCTGTTGGAGAACAACAGAAGTGAGATTGAACAAATCGATTAATCCCTACTTCTTTCGTTCTCCGACAGATTGCACTACTCGTGCAAAAAAACGCCTTCAAAAAGTCGAGTATGTAATGATCTATAATCAGCACGCACAACATATCCGTAACAACAATTGCTCCAGACGCAGCAGAAGGCGAAGTGTTCAGTTAAAAAAAGAGGACGATAGAAAGTTTACGTATAACGAAAGGGTGTATATTCGATCGAAATGAATCGAAAGAAGAATAAAAACGTGAACCGATCAACACAGATTCCAAGGATAAATAAATAAAAAAGCTGATCAAAATCAGTAGAAAACTTGCACATACTATGAAAATTTCAAATTGCGTTATCTCGAAATTAGGATCAGCCAAGATTTTGATTTTCCGAGATTTTAAGTCCACACGTACCATATACTCACTCCTTGCCAACCGTTTTTGGGTATACATTTTTCTCGCATATTTTTTTGCTTCAAGACCACTGTGCGGGAGAGTATTGCCATTTAAATCCTTTTACTACAGAAAAAGTGTGCCGCTCTCTGATTGGTCGGCTATCATGGAGCCCCAAAGTTGGCCCAATGTAAACAAACCGCAGTCCCTCCGCTCCTAGTTTGGCCCAATGTAAACGGATAAAACGGCGAAAAAGTTCTACAAAATTCTAGACGTAATTTTGGATGCGATAGAAATTTTTTAATATCCAACTTCTGAATTTTTCGGATCGAACTTTGATGGATATCTTTACCGAAAATTAACCTTTGAGTGTGAGAATCATTAATTTTTCAGTCGATAATATGTGCTCTTCTGGGTCGGGTTTTTTTACATTTGGCCAACTTTGGATCCCCATGATAGCCTGAAAATGATGAATCAATCAGAGAACGGTACAGAGATGGCAAAACTCCTCCATATGAAGGTACTCTAGTAGCATCCAGGGTGATCGTCTACCACTAACATTCGACTTGATGAACTTTTATTGCACTTGCAAACATGAAACTTTTGAGTTCCGGTCATTAGCCAGATCAACTGGACCGTGTTAAACAGAAAGGAACCAAGCCACATCAGCTATTGCCAAAGTTAACAGGGGAATTTGATTTTTTACGAGAGAACGTTTGTGCGAATTCTTTTGAAAATTTTAAGGAATTTGCTTTGTATTACGGGAAAAATTCATAGAAATTTGCACAAAAATCCGCACAACCGTTTTCGTGTAAAAAATTAAATTTCCGGATTAAAATTTGGCAATAGCTGATGTGGCTTGGTTCCTTTCTGTTTAACGCGGTCCAACTGTTATGTGCATCCACCCACGTACCTTGGCTAGATCGGTGTGGTACCATCTCTCATGGAAGCCGGAGAAATGATCAGGCTTAGAGAGTTTGAAGTTCCAGATGCCATCCAAGGATTTGACTTCGCGCGTCGGCGATTCGCGAGGGTACAAAATTCCGCCGCTGAAGACGCACGGTAGGTGAAGGAGAACTCCAAGGCGGGCCAAATGGAAAACCGGCGGAAACCATTGCATCGTTCACCCTCTGAAACACAAGAATTAATGCTGTAATAACTCGTGATGGCAACGGAAACGAAATCGCAGAATGGACCACTAGATAAGGTACGAATTTCAGCTTTCTGATACATGTTTCTTAACCAAAATTTTACGTAAAACACGATGCACACAACGAAAATTACCGAAATCAACTCCTTACGAAGATATTTAATGATTCTTAATGCGTGAATTCAAACCACCCGCTCATGAAAACTCAATGCTCTACGTGATTCACATCGCGCGCTAAACGTTATCATGACAGTCTCTGCGATATAAAAATCTGGCAACCTCAATCTTGAAGCTTTGGCTCAGCTATAGCAAATTGCTAATAGTTTGAACAACACATGATGGGAAATGAACATTGCTCGATTGAGAAGCTTGCTGAAACCGTTGTAGTGCGCGATTTGACTAACGTAGAGCTTTGAGTTTCTTGTGAGCGGGCAGTTCAAATTCCTCGTAACCAATGTGAAATAAAAACGTTAATATCTTCGTTAGGAGTTAGTTTCAGTAATATCCATTGCGCTAATCGTGTTCTACGTGAAATTCTGGTTAAGAAACATTTATCAGGTTGCTTAAATTCGTACCTTGTCTAGTGGTCCATTATTATAATTTTACCGCGTTAAGCAGAAAAGAACCAAGGTTTCAGCTATTGCCAAATTTAATCGGGCTTTTTAATTTTTTACACGATTACGATTCTGCGGATTTTTATGCGAATTTCTCTGAATTTTCTGCATCGCACGAGGCAAATTCCTGAACACTTTTAAAGGAATCCGCAGAAGCGTTCTCTTGCAAAAAATTAAATTGCTCAGTATTTGGCAATAGCTTATGTGGCTTGGTTCTTTTCTGCTGAACGCGGTTCAGTTTACTTTCCGGAGAAAATAAACCCATGACCTATGGTAGCTCTTTCGAGGCGGACCATGGGTCAGTTCTGCCGTGCTAAGGAAAATCACCGTATGAACACTTGAGAGTTGCCGAATTTCCTCCCATAAAACGCTTATTTTTTTGAAAAATATAATCATTTTCCCTTGATATTTTCAGGAACTTCAGGAGAAATCGCGAATAGAAATGTCTGAAAAATTGGAAGAAAAATACTCATAAGTTTTCCAGGAAATTTGCGTGTTATCAAAGGAAATTTGGCAACGCCTCAAGGTTCATACAGCGTTTTTCCTCAGCGAGGCAGAGTTTTGTCGGTCACAGGATCGTGTTTTTTGGTGGTTGAACTTATGAATTGGACGTATTTCTGTCAAACGGAACTAAGCGCCATGGAAAAGCATTGCGAGTATAGGACGGAATGAGCCCGACGCCCGGTTCCGCCACTGATGCAAGCCCCCCTCTACCTTCCTCTCCCTATGGCGCTTAGTTCCGTTTGACAGAAATGCGTCTAATTAGCAAAAATAGTTAGATTTGCTTTAACGCCATGTTTTTATGTCCTCTATTAACGGAGATATCGTTCATGGCAAAGTATCATTTCGTGGATATGCAATTCTATCATCATGAGAAATCAAATTGTTGTATCACGTATTTCGGCTCATCCAACTCACATACCGCGCGTTAAAGTCTCCGAGTCCGCCGAATCACGTTCTCCTTCATTTCGTGGATATGCAATTTTACCTATTTGGAAGTCGAAATAGTTGTATCACGCGTTTCGCCTCGTCAACTTTTCTACCCTGCGTTAAAGTCTCTGAGCGGGCGAAAAAGAGACCAAGCGCCTCTTTATGGTTGTGGACATGCGAGAAAGTTCCGTTCGTTCATTTGTGATCGAATCTTCGAAAAGGCACCTCATTTTCCGGAAGAAAATTTCAGAAACTTTGAACCGTGCGCGGAACACGATCGCGAGAGGCGCCTGCAAAACCATAGGGATACTTCAGGCATTGCACCGTCGCCCCGAGATCTCCAGTCTCGCTCCCGGCTCTTGACTCGCGAATCGTGCCGAAGTTCCGAAGTTTTAAAAATGAAAATGAAGTTTTAAGAAAACGAGCTCACTGGTGCACGAGTGAAAAATATTATTGAAGGAAACCACCGTTCTTTGTCAAATTGCCACCAATCATCCGGAAGACTATTAGAGATCTTTTGGATGCATGATTAAAAATCGAACGATTTTATTTCAATTCCATAAAAGGGGTATTGTTCAATAATTGTTCATCAGACAAGACAGTTGTAAGTGCTTTCCTCTGCGTGCTTTCGTGGTTGCGTTTTGGACGCACAACAATCACATTTTCAGGTTAGAAATTGGCAGGAGAGGGCGGCCCTTTACTTAAAAGCACTGTTTTCATTGGCTCTCTGGAGGAATAATTTTACTCACGGCCGTTTTGCCTAAAACTTAGTCATTTTTTGCGCTTTTACGGCTCTCTCACATATCTCGTTTTCATACAATTGAGATGAATTTTGCTGTTTAACTATTTCAGTGATTTCATCTGAAAGAGATTAGACGGATTTTGAAGAACACTTACTGCTCTCTTCGCTACCTATCAAAGCAGAACTTCGGAGGTGCGCAAAAATAGAGCGCATGTTGATTAAAAGCATAATTAATTTTTTATCATCCATTATTCAAGGCCGTAGCCCATGTAAGTTCCTCACTGTCTACGCCGATCTTGAACGACCGATTGGTCGTTGGCTAGTGAACATTCTGCACCCCTGCTTGTAAAGCGGATCGGGTTGGGCTTCCACGATCCTCTAGTCTGCTTTTTTCGCTGTCAGAAAAATAACAGTATATTCAACAATCAGGAATTAATTTTTGAGAAAGACGGAAAAATATTGTATGTGAAATGTATATGCTTCTCATAACCTGCTTAACACATCATTTTTCATGCTCGTAAATATTCAAAATTCACCACACAACATTCAATTTCAGTTGTTCGCGGCAACTAGGTGGCGAAGCTGCAAAAACGGGTAACAATAGGTTTTAGGCGTTATACGCCTCCTATCACAATTCGTTTCTTAAATTGGAAAATTCTCAACGTCATTTCTTTAAATCTTTCGTGATTTTTTTTCTCCATACGAGGCATATTCTGTAAAAATTTCAAGCACTAAGGATGGTTTGCTCTCTTTAGAAAAACGAAAATTGGAGCGGAGAGTTTGAAACACCAACACCCTCCTTTGAGACGCGCGTCTCTGCTGTTTATATCTTGTTTCATGAGCTCTATTTAGACAAAGCTCTACCGGTGAGAAGAACGAACTATACTGACATGATACTAAAGCACACATCTTTTAAAGGTAATCGATAGGACGTAGTTTATTTTCTGTGGCACTGTTGTGTTCCTTCCTATGCTGCTGTGCTAAGTAAAAACGCCGTATGAAATGATTTAGTTTTGAAGAGAGTTATGAATATTTTTCCTTGAAATTTTCAAACTTTTTAGATCAAACGGATTACATTTTGCAATAAAGAACCACTATCTCTGGCTCCTCTGTAAAAGCACCTTTCTGCATAGGGAAACCAATGGCATATATGTTGTTTCTAAAATGAGCCAGATATAGTCGTTCCTTATTGTAAAATGTGGTCCAAATTATGAATAAGACCCTCTGGAAAATCGGAAGAGAAATATTCTCGAATTTTCCTTAAAATTCGTGTTTTGTCCAGGGCCGGATTAAGGGGGTGACCACATGGGGTGCGGCCCATGGCGGCAAATCTATAGGGGGCGGCAAATTTTGCAATTTGTTTAAATGTAGGTATAAAAAAAATCGGATTTAGAAAAAAAATTACAGACGAGAAAAGACGACACAATCTCTCATTTCCTGAGAGTAAAGTAATTTCTAATTTTGTCGTCTTTCATTGATACAAGAGACAGCACCTTTAATTAGTCGAGTTAAGAGAGAAACCATACACGCTATTTGGCCTGGAACGGCGCGACTTAGAGAAAAATGATGACTAGGACTTGAGATGAAAAGGAGAAGCCCTCGGCGCGGCGATCGGCATGTAACACATATTCGCGCCTACAAGACTGCACGAATACTTCACGCATTGCGCCAGACACAGTGTGGTCTGCGTGAAACTCATAGCGCCTACAAGCCTGGAATCTTCGTGTCAAATTAGGCAGGGATTATAGGTTCTCCTTGTAGAAAATACATGTTCAAAAATTTACTTCTCGGTGTTATTCTTTTCGTATTACATAAGTAAATCAAAGAAGGGTGTCAATGAGGTGATGTCAGAACATGAAAATGGACCTTTGGGGAGTTCCAAAAAAATCAACCGTCGAAATTTTACGATTTCCTGACGAAAAATTGTTATGAGAGATTTTGCAGATCTGCGCCAGGAGGCTACAAAAATATCACCTGATAACTCAGAAAAAATTGAAGTGTAAATTACATAGTTTGCCCGTAAAAGGACGTTTTTGAAAAATATTTGTTTTGAGCAAAACTCAAGTCTTGAGAAAGTGGCTCTGCACCTTTTGCCCTTAATTCTGCATCTTGGAGCATCCGATCAACGTAAAAACGTGACAGCTCATTTTCAAAAATGCACTGATGCTGCATAATTGATTTTCAAAACAAAGACCAATTTTACAATACGCCCCTCTACGGGCGAACTTCTCAATTAAGGGGTTTTGAGGACAAGCACTGATAGCAATTTTTCTTGGGATATTATTTTGACTTAAAGCGTCGTTTCTTGTTAACAAAATTTGATTTTTTTGGGTTAATTCCTTGCCAATCTAACTTAAAGTCAGTTTGTTTTAGTTAAAAAAGAGTCGTTTTGCTATCCTCTAGTTTATGTTTAAAAAACGATAGCAAAACAATGTTTCTTTAACTAAAAAAAAAACTGACTTTAAATTAAATTCACTCGAATTTTACTTTAAAAAAAACCTAACTTTGTCGACAAGAAACGAACCTTTAAATTAAAATAATGTCTCAAGAAAACTGTTTTTCCAAAGAGGCTCATGAGTGCAGTTTTTGAAGGAATTGAGATATGCATGAACCAAACTAGAACTAGTTTGAAAGTATTTGCTGTTAACAATTTACAGCTAAAATATCCAATTTTAAAGCATCAAAAAGTGAACT